CTTTCCAGGTACACACAAGCTTTTGCTTTTGTCCTGACTGAGCTGCAAAAGCTTCCCATCTATAAGATCAATGAAAATGCCTAAAAAAGCCCTAACTCAGGAATACCAATACACATTTTCTTTATTCCTTGCTTCTTGTTAACCTCTTGCTAATGTTGCACGCTCTTTCATTTTTCATAATTTAAATTATAAATCTTTAATTTGGCTAAATTAATAAAAAAAACAAAAAACCAATCTTTAAAATGAGGCTCAAGGACCTGTTAGTCCAAAATTGCATTTCAAACAAAACCATTTTTTTATTTATAAACTTGTTCACAGCTATCATGGTCTTATGCTAATATTCCTGATTAAAGTGGAAAGAATTAGTATGAGCATGTACACAAAGAAAAGCAATACCAAAAATATTATGGCTCTTATTGAGGATATTTAAATAATTTCATTATAAGGAAAACAAACATTCAGCAACTTTCCCCCTTCTCAGTTTTGTTGCACTGATTTAAGCAAGTTAAAACAGGAGACAACCAAATGATCACCAAAAGGTCAAATCATAAAAATATGTTTTCACATGTTAGGGGCTTTAGTAAAGCCATCTGAAGTTTCACTGTTTTATTTCTGCTTCATATTGCTTTTCTTCTGTCCATACTGGGGTATTTGGACTTGAAACTGAACTCTTCTATGGTGTTGGAGAAGACAGGGCAAGGGGAGATTCAGTCAAGTGCGTTGGTCAGATATTTTGTTCCAGAGCCACAATACAGTGAAATACTAATGTCACCACATGAATGTTCTGATTTTTAAGTGAAAGACCCACATGTCATCCCCTACCACTCTCAAATTAGTTTAATCTCAACTCATCAAAACAAACTCTAACAAAAACCCCACACTTATCCATAAAAATGTAACCATTATAATAGGACTTAGTAAAATGTTCCGTCTCCAACATAATCTGCTGATATAGCCCTGATACATCACATACATTTGCAAAATCTTAGAAAGAACAAAAATAGAAACTCATGTCTCAGCCTAGGTGGAAATTGTAACCCATAGTATACTGGATAGAAGAAAAGTAATTCTTCCTCCCATTGGAAAGGTGGTTATCTGTCACCTTCAGAAGGTGTACACTCTATGTTTTCAGGAGAGAATTCAAAGTTCAGAATAACAAAAGTTCATATCGGGTTTACGTTTCCCCAGTAGTTGCAGTTCTGGGTATCTCAAGTACATGTCACAGAGCAGAGACCTTGCTTCTCTGTGTCCTCCTTGCTGACTCCAGCCAAGGAGAAGCTGTCCAAAGGAAGAATTGTGCAGAAGTTGGTGGATTTAGTAGTATTGTAGTTGACCCAAAAACCAAGTTGTAGACAATTCAAATTGGATGCTCAGAATTAGCAAACTTCAATGACAATAATTTATCTCTATTTCTCCTTTTAGAAAGATAAGAGTACCAACCTCCCTCATACGAAAAGACATCTATTTGAAAGACACATGAAACAACAGTGATAAACACCACTGGAGAGACACAATGGAATTAATAGTTGTCTCTCCATAATAAGACTTGGCTAGCCAGCAATAAGTGAGACCTAAGAGCATGTAACAGGAAAAGTTTTCAATAGCTTCACATGCATACAGGACCGGGGGTGCTCACAGACTGGGTAAAAAAATGGCCATGCCTGTGTAATTAAACACTCTTATCAGGATGGACATACACACAAAAGCTAAGTTAAAACTGTACAGGCAACCTTAATTATGACTTTTTCTGACTTTGAAATTAAAAATGCAGAACTAGATTAAAAGAACATAATTAAGATTGCAACGTCATTTGGCAGCGGTACCTTGTAAAAACAGGCACTACGATACAAAGTGAACTTGATCTTAGCAGAAAAGAGAATCATAAAACAACACATTTGGGTCATTGTATTTTTTGTAATCATATATATAGATGAAGCAACAGCAAATATCAAATTTTAATAAAATATTATTGATTATAATAATTAATATGCCAATTGTTAATTATAATAATGAAACCGTCTTGCAATTATATGAAAAAAGCCGTCTTGCAAAAATCAGCACATCTGCTTTTTTAATTAATTATTTCTTTTCAAACTATGTTTTCATTGCTTATCTATTCCACATAAATGTAGTGTCCTCTGGTCTCCTAGTCAATCCATTCTTGTTCTTGCATTATGTACCTACGTTTTTGTTGAAAGGCAGAATCAACACAGATTTTTTTAAAACCTTACTGAAATAAAAACATACTGTTCGATGCACCAGATATATTTCCCAAACTTGACTTAAATTATTCACCAAGTTCAACTGCTCATTCAGTACAATATAGCATTAGTACTGATTGAAAACCCTGTACACATTAGAGAAAACATAAATCCCCCCCATGCCCATTCTTGCCCTGGAACAGCTAGGAATGGATGGATGTTTTTTAAACACCCCTAACCACCCCCAATTCAGCCATCAAGAGCACCTGTGAAGGGTCATAACTACACTCATATTTAAGGCTATCTGAAACAATGGAAAAAACAAATCCTCCCATCTAGTTTTGGAAGTATCTAAAGGAGGACATGAACCTGAACTGATGGCTTCAGGAACATACAGCCACGGCAGAAAGGTCTGAGCAGAAGCTATGTCACCATGAAAACAGTCTGCAAACAGAAAGCCTGAGACATTCCTCACATTGAAGCAATTGGAGCATAGAAGAAAACATGGAGATTTGCAAGGGAGTATCTGAAAAGAGAAGGAAGCACATAAGCAAAGGAGGGTCAGAAAATCAGACTCAGATAGGAAATAGCTATGTATTCTTTACAAAGAGGACTGAAAAGGTAACTGTACATGAGATAAGCCTTGATGGGAACAGGCCAAGGCAATAGTATCATGGCATAATTTCAGACCTATTTAAGAAAACAGCTGAATTTACAATGAATAAGTATTTCCTTGTTCCAGTATGAATTGTATATGTACGTGAATTTTATGAAGGATTGGGAACCCTTATGGATTTCTAGATAGACAAGAGCTTATCTAGGAACATGTATAAAAATTAAGGGCATTTTTCTTATCTGGTGCAGTTGTCTGCTACTGCCAGGCCTATAAACAACTCTAGAGATTCATTTAAATTAGGTTGAAAGCTGGAATTTTGACATATAATATTATTACATAGTGTAATATCACCATAGCAAGAATCCATTCTGTGGAATTATCTGAAGCATACTGAAAGCATAAGAAATGTTTCCAAAGGATTCACTGAACAACAGGTATTTTCCTCAGTTTCTGCTGCTAGCATGTCCAGAGACAAAGTGCAGGACATGATCAGTACAGCTGTCAGGTAAGAATACAGTCAAACTAGAACTTGTCTCAAGATGATGTGACTATCTGCAAAACATGCCCCCCTCTCCAGCTGCTCCTATATCCTCTGAGGAATAGGTTGAAAATACACCTCAGGTTGAATGGCTGACTTTGTAGGGGAATAAATTTTTCAAATTAATTACCTTTGAATTTTGTTGTTTCCCCCCACCCTGTGCAAATTAACCAAGAGTAGTTTAAAATTCTTATGTTTTCATTTAGCTCAAAAATCAGACATATAGTCTGATTCTGAGCAAGTTCAAAAATTTACTTATTTGGTTTGTTGGGTTTTTTCCTGTTAGCTGAAAAGTTAAACATAGTAGGATAATTTTATATTTGAAAGAAACCCTCCTTCCTCCCCTCAAAAGCTATTTCCACAAATACATACTTACATGTATTAAACATTTACTGCTTCTATGAAAAATTCTGCCAGCAAAGTTTTTCACAAAAGAATGACCAAAGTAAATGGAGGGACACTAACATGGAACACAAGTAAATGTCTGAAAGCATTTTCATGCTGTTCACCCACATTCCCTTATTTGCAAGGGCAGGAGCCATTGTGTCAGCCACTTATGGCAATCAAGCATAATTTGTCACAGATGTCCTGGTATGTTTTGATACAATATGAAATCAGTCAAGCTTCAAACAGGTCTTGGTCACTTGTCTGTTCTTGGGAACACTACTCCAAGGCAGCCTTTAGAGACCTGCACTTTTTATTGGCTTCATATCTCACAAACTAAGTATCTCACCCAGTCTTTTACATCACCTAGCTATCCTTGCTCATTATCTACCTAGGTGTGTTAACCAGCATTTCTTATATGAAATAAAAACATTTTATTCTGACACTGCGGTTACTGTCTCCTAGCAACAGGACTTCTTCTTAATAAGGCACTTGTTATTTTCAGGGGTCTATGAAGAATACTTTAAATATCCTTAGTTTTCTGTATAGATTCCATAACCTGATCAATTCTTTTCCTCATAAATTTGATGACCTATGAAAATGTTTTATAATTAGCATAATAGCAGAATGTGATCTATAAAACACAAATTTCTTTGTACTAATGTTTCATGTCAACACTGCAGTTAAATTAATTGAAAGTTATTTCTCACCTTACCAGGGATTTCTGTTTAGCCAGTTTTATTCTCATGAGTACAGGGAAGTACAAGCATCTTTGTAAATTATTACAGTAGATCACAAATAAACATACCGTAAAAAGAGAGGAGAGATTCATGTTGTACTAGTTCTTTTCAAATAAAAACAGTGATCTTTATGGCTTTGATCAAGACAAAAAAAGTGCATGTTTAAAACTAAGTGACAGTAGAAAAGAAAGGAAAAATCTGAGGAGATAATGGGAAAAGCCCAACTGAAATTACTTAGCATTTTGTTTTAAATTCACCAGATATCTAGATTGCAAGTCTAAGGTAACAGAATACAATATAATTTGTATCTGATGGACTATTTTATTCTTGTAAACTTTTTTGTTCTTGTCAATCTTATAAAATTATACCTTCTCAGGGTAATTGTTGAATTCATGCAGAAATAAGTGCAATGCAATTTTACTTCTAAAGACAAATCATTCATTTGTGAGAAATGAGTTTGAAAAAATATAATGAAGGTATTTATTACTTCAATAATTTTTAAAATTGGTCAAGGTGTTCTAATGTTCATATTTTGGTGACAATGTAGACATCATTGCAATTGTCACCTGCCAAAGACTGAATATCCATATTAAAGTTATGCATTTCACTAATGTACCAAGTTGCAATGTCAATTTGCAAGCTGTCTGACTGATGGTTTATCTTCTTTGATGGACCTAAGGTACATCAATATGCAGAATGAGTCATCTAAGGAGAGGAAAAAGCAGCCAGAGGACAGAACTGAGCTACTGTCCAGCTCCAAATACCCTGAACTACCACAAGGTCACGAAAGGCTGCTAGGGAAGAGAAGGCTCCAGAGCAGCTGAACAGCCAGGACAGTTTTCTTCATTCCAGTACTGAAAAAGGTGATAATGAGTAGTCCCTCTGGCAGAAGCTTCCTTTGGTGGCCTCTGACACCTTATTAACCTGTGTTGCCCTGATCCTGGAAGACCACAGGATGTTGGAGAGGGATATCTGGAATGCTATGTCACAAATGCCCTTTTTTCCTCAAGAAGAAAGAATTTGCTAAATCTGTAAGGCTAGCTGTGGGTGAGCTAAAATGGCACTGGGGGGTTGAGTTGAGAAGTACTGCGAAGTCTCTTGTAATAGAGAGAGATTCATGCTTCAGTTGGCCACATCTTTTTCAAATCTCACCCTCCAAAGTCATCAACTTGACTGGGTAGCTCGAAAGGTTTTTCATTCAACAGAATAATTGGCACAAACACTGTGCTGTGTAAGCTAGTCTCACAATAACATAAATCCAATCCACTGAACTTTTCAAATTACATACTTTAAAAAAAATACAAATTGCCCAACAATAAACACTAGTTCCCTAAGTAACAGGTGACACAAATTGAAGATATTCATATATAGAGGAAAAAAATCCTTAAGTATTTGAAATATAACTGAAACCCAGTGGAATGGATTGTAAGATTAAGACAATGAAATTCAAGTTTACTAGTGACACAGAACACCACTGTGTCTACATCCACCTTTTAGCAGATAATGTGGAATTTAAGAACTACAGCACACAAACCCAAACAGGATACTGCAGGTCATCCACTCCTTTCAAGTAGCAACTATCACCAGAAAAACAGATAAAATCTTTCTTTAATGGCTGCCCATGTTGTGGAGTATTGGGCAAAAATATTCTTATATTGAACGTAATTCTGGTAAACAGTTTACACTTAGATTTTTAAAGAAGCACACAATTTGTTTAGTGAGCATATGCAACAGCAACAGAGATAATCCAATACTGAGTTCCACTGACAAAAGAGTTAAAAATTGACTTTAAAATTTAGTGGCTGGTTTGAAAAATAGTTATTATGTTGTGTTTATTTCCTTCAGGCAGCATGTGGATAGAATACAGCAAGAACTTGTAAAAGGTAATGTTTCATGACTATGATTGTGATATTTAAATAACAATTATTGTTATTAATAATATTAAAATTGCTTTGAAAGGACTGATGGAAGGCCACAAATACATTTATATAAATATATATAAATATATAAATAATGAGAATGTAAATATAATGACAGTAGAATCTACTATTTTCTAGAAGATACAGGGCTTTCCAAAATGTTGTTAACTATTGATAAATCTCCTGGAAATATAAGGTGATTTGTACATGATTACAAATATATAAAAGTTGGTTTCATTGTTAAAAGTCTAAAAAATTTCTAAAAAAAATTGGGAAGGCGGTGCTTATATGACTTCTATGATATCTAAATAGATAATTCAAAAATAGAGACTATCAACAAAAAAAAATAGATGTTAAAAGATAAAACTATTTCAGTCAACAAGTTCCATGGTAACTAGGTCTTCCCAATTGAATCACTAACCTTTTCTGACAGATACGAGTTTAGTAATACCATTTCTGTTGATAAAACACTTAGATTAAAAAAAATAAAATTGCTTAGTACTATATGACATCTTGATTTTAAAATCTTACTGTTTTAAAAATAACAGTATACACAAGTAGCAACATTTTACCTGTACTGAGGGTCTCAAAAACTTACTTCACCAGCACATGTGAAAATGAAGTGACTGGCAAAACATCAATGAACTGGACAACTAAACAGTGAGGTTCTTCAAAGATCATTTTTGGTCTAATTCTCATCAATATTTTTAATCAATGATTTGAGGATATTTTTGATGAATGAGAATAGAATATATCTGGCAGTTAAATACATTAGTTAACAGAGATTCATGGAGTGGTAAGTAATGAGGGAGCTACTTACTGCTACAAACAATCTGCATCACTTGCTTAAGTGGACACAATTAATGAAAATGCTTTAAACAGACCTCAACACAAGCATACAAAATTCCTCTGTGAAGAAACAACACAAGTTACAGTTAATGGCCAGGATTTTTTCAGTTCACTCTTTTTACTGAGGAGAAGACAGAAAGGATCTGGTTTTACAGGATGAGTTTTTTTCTCATTTTAAAAATCAAGCTGTTTGCAAAGAGATTACATTTAGACAAACAAGAACAAAACTATCCTCAATGACTTAAATCTGAAGGGACAAGAAGAAGAATAACTTAATAATCCCTGTTCTACAGGGAAGTTTCCTGAGCTTCCCATTTTCCCTGAGTCTGGTAATGTTCTGGATACTTTTTTTTTTCTTTTTGGTGGGGGAGGTAAATGGGCATTTTTCTCCTAAAACTTTGGTTTTAGGAGAATAGGAATAGGAAATAGAATAGGAAACCTATTCCTGTGTTTTTGTCAGCCAGAGAAGAGCCAAGAGATGTTCAGCTGAGAACACAACTCTGCACATACTTCCTGTTCACGTGCTCCAACCAGCCAGTGCTCAGCCTGAGACCTAAGTTCAGAGCATTTCAAGGTGAGTGCACAAAAGCCCATCACCACCAAAAGCACATCACAGCAAGGACAGGACGAACAATGTGGAAGCCCAACACAAAAGCTCTGTCACAGAGTCATACAACTGCTTTAGTTGGAAGGAACATTAAAGACCATACAGTTCAAACTCCCCTGGGCAGGGACACTCAATGTCAAAGGCAAAAAAGCAAACCCTGCAGTGCTTAGGTCCAGACACCTGAAGTACCAAGTGATGGGAAATAATATACTTGAAATTTCACTTTACTGTATTGTCTAGTTAATTGCAAAGACATAAAATAATCAGTACTACTCTTACAAAAACATTTGTAAAACAGAGAAGTTTACTCGACAAGACCTGAAAAAGTGGCTTTCTATATTTTAATGAGAAATTCACATTCTAAGTCAGTTTACAAGGTTCCTAAATTTGGCAAACATAAAAGCGGTATTAACTGCAATAGTATTTGGCAATTTCTGTAAGTTCCCAACGGTTTGAAATCTTCAAATGAGTAAGAAATAGATAGAAAGCATACAACATAAAAAAGTTCACATATACAATTACTGGAAGGCATGTCTACAGTATGAGTGGAGAGGGCTTAAACATCTAAGCAAGTGCCTGACCATGCTCATTTATTTACTTTGCACAGCAACAGCCAGGTGAACTAACCTTGGTCCAAAAGTGTTAGTGCAGCACTTCTCTTCAGCAAATAAACCTCCTCTGGCAGAGCTCGGTACTCAGGTGCAGAGCCCACTTCCATGCCTATTTCACTTCTGTCCCTGGTACTGTCTCAGATGTTACCTGGGGTGTCTCTGCACTGCGGGAGATTTATTGACTTGATCAAGAGGTGGTGTGACTTACACTATAAAGCACTGACTGTGAAGGAGAAGGATGTCATTCTAGTCCTCAACCTAAAACCTAATGTGTTTTCCCATCTTTTTGTGAGCATTGCAAGGAAAGCAGAGCTGTGCCACACCCAATTAACATAATCCACGAGGAAACAAAACACATGCACTGATGGAAGCAGCCATTATTAGCTGCATCTGAAACATTCTTCCTTTTGAATTAAAGACAATGTCCAGTTTCATTCCTATATTTAAGTACTTCTTTATTTGCCTCAAAAAAACAAACAAAAAATACCCCAGCAGATGTGAGAAGGTCGAAGCAATGTGGAAAAATCTAGTAATTAGTTCATTATAAGAACAAAGTTAATCAAATAAGTGTGTTATTCTACAAATTTCTCTTCTCTGGATGAGAATCAGTGCAGAAAAAAAAGTTTCTCCACCAACAAGAGCGGGACCAAGGTTTAACTCAGAATGTCTGTTAATCACATGGACAGAGTAAGATTTATCGTGTCTTTCATTTCTTACTTTTTAAGACTTTGGGATTAGTTTTCAGGGAAGACACTCAATTTAGGGGACTGTTACTTAGCAACCATAATCTGTTTTAAAACAAAGCTGCAGCCTGTGCTTTTTTTTCAGCAAGGAAATAATAGATCTCTGTCCTTATGTGCTTCTTACCAAATTAATAGCTAAGCAAACACCTAGACTGAACATAAAGGAAGGCTCCAAGCAAACTGCTTGTCAAAGAAGCATCCTTACATTGTTTGACCCTTTCCTTATTTTTGCAATCATGGCAAAGAAAGTCTCAGTTCTTAAAAAAAACTCCAACAAAATTATCTGAAGAAAATGTCCTCCAGACACTGGAAACTGGCTGATACAGAGGAGCCATGCCCATGGATGTGGGAAATATAGTTTTGAAAAAAAATGGGAAAAATAGGTACCTGGTGGGCTTTGTTCTCTGCAATAAAAATGCAGAAGATAGAAAGAAAAAACAGGGAATTTGTAGTACCTAACTCTCAAAATCAAGTATCAGAACAACTTTCTTTCTCTACCCATCTTAGACTCAAGCAGAGACCCCACAAAGCTGCCAAGCATACTGGAGCTAAGCTGGCCTCAGTTGTATACTCTGAAAGATTTTGGTGCTCCTTGTCATCGTACATAAAATCCTGAGCTACCCAAAGGCTTCAAGAAAAGGACAAGGCAACAACATATGGCCTAAACAGACTGTTCATGTCTTTTCCTAAACAAGGCACAGCTTCACCTTAGACTGACCTTGCAATTACAGGCTATGGGGAACAGTTAGGCACTTGAAAACAGCACAACAAATGGCACAGACAGGGAAAGACTCAGAAATACTGAATGCAGAGAGCCCTCGATAGGTAAGCTGTGAATTCTGGTTGCAGTGTCTGAGACAACCCTGCTCCACTCAGACCACTTGCTATCGGAATCTTAAAATGCAGCCTGGAACCAGAAGAATCCTTTACACTACTCCTTCCTTTGCAGATGAAACAATGATAAAAGTTCCTCCAGAGATGAGATTCTAGCAATTTGAGGACATGATTCTGAAAAAAATAACTCTCCAAAGTGATAAATTTAAATAACTGCAAAGTAAGCAAAGTGGGTTTATATCCCAGCTTCCTCCAGCAGCAAGAAGAGAATTTGAACAGTTTTTCCAGAGCAATTATTGAGTAGCTGAGGAAAAATTGCAATGCCACCTCAAATAACTCATGTCTATATGACTCAGTTCAGGAATATTAATAAAATCCACACATCCAGATCCTGAACTGATTAGAATTTAGGAGATATGGGATTCTGAGCAATAACTTCCCAAATTTACCATAACTATTCTGCACCTAGTGTCATTCATGTGGGGCAAAAATAACTTGTCAACTCTTGACAAACCCCTAAATCTTAGAAATATGCTATTTTAAACTGTGAATTTGTTTTGGCTTTCTTAACTAGTCTTGAGCACAAAAACTTAGAGATAAGAATGTCCTTGTATCACTCCTAGACTAGGAATTGGAGCTGATGTATGATTTCTTTTAAAAGTACAAACATTAAGATACATGTATCTGATATGCATCAAAAATAAATATAATGATTATTTGCAAATATGCCAAAATCCAAATTAATCTTGTAATGTAGTGGAAAAAAATTATATACACTGACCAATTTACAGGACTACAATCACCAACAAATATGACAAGTAATTAGCATTTCTTACCAGAAAACCAATACCCTTCTTTTACCCCCTCTAAATCAGAACTGGCTTTACATCAAGTGCTAGAGCTTAGGAAAGCTAAAATATGTTTTCCTCTGTCTTATCCTTGTGTTTCACTGTGAAGGGGTTATTTCTCTCAGGAACACAGTAACAGCTGCTGGCTCTTTCCTCCATGATTTCACATGACACATTTCTCACTGGAGCTCTCAGCAATTTATTCTTATTGCCTTACTGCTTTAAGGTTTTTTTCAGCAAGTTCAGTGTTGTATACATAAAAATTAGATATGAGGAGTGAGGGAAAAATCTCTTTAATTCAACAGATTGCATGAAATGCCTCTATGACCAAAGATGCTACTACAGCCATAGCTGAATTTTGGGTGCAGGGGAAGCATTTATTTTATTTCATTTTTTTAAAGGTGCAATATGTGCTAGACAATGTTCATGTGGAGCCTAGTGATTTTAAAACTGCCATTCAGTCTCCCACCTCCATCAGATCAGGTCAAGAATCTTGGATAATTTACCTCAATGAGACAGGAAAGAGGTCACCCCAAGGGGGAAAGAAAGCCCATAAGATTGCTACACAACCACACTGCTGTGTTAGAGCACACGGCTGCTAACAGAGACCATTAGCCAGGGTTTGCTCATATTAGTACAGCTAAAAACCATGAGGATAAAATTCAGTTCATGACATAGCATCCTGATTCAACTTTCACAAGTTTTTGACTATAATAAAAAAAAAAAAGTGTTCACATTTTTATATCCTAAAATTAACATTACATCAATTAATTACAGTTTGAACTTTGAGGACTCTGAGCTGTTGCAGCCAAAGACAAGAAGGGAACCCCCAAGAGGCCACTCAACCCTTACTTGTTCATTCAGAACATAAACACTAAATCTCATTGATCTTCTGATCAGTACAAATTATTGGTAAGCTTTGCATTAAACCAAGTTGTTGTAAATTGGAACTGACAGTATTATCACTGAAAGAAATGCATGAACTCTGTGTTTGCCAAAGTGTGACCTCCTGGACAAGTGGTGTAGCACTGTAGCACTGCAAGAATGGAGATTTTTAATCCAACTACCACTCCCAGGCAAATTATTTCAATCACACAATTAACTTTACTAAATAACATTTTTTCACACTAAACATGTGCTGCGGCTTAAAAATTAAATAACCCAAAAGGATATCAAGTGCAACATTCCCAATCTCAAGCTCACAAGACTCACCTGCATCAGAACATTAATGCCCTTCCAGCCAGTCTCCTTCAGTGAAACCATCCTCTACAGGATGGTAGCTGTAGCTCACACACTAGCTTGCATGCCAGAAGGATGAAAATTTGAAAGAACAAACACAGAAATTAAATGTGAGTGTTAAGACCAGAGAAGAAACCCTATTAACAAAGTGAGTGACAAGAATTTTTGTATTACAGGAAGCAGAGATTACAGAACATAACTGGCAACTGATTTGAGAAGCTGACATGATTGCTAGGTTTGCTAACCAACCATATATGAACATCTTCCTCTGGTTTTGTCATTTTGTTGGGGCTTTTTTTGTGTACTTGGAGATTACACATACTGTTCCTTAGCCAGGGTGCTGTGCCACCACCTCAATGGTAAAGAATTACTTAAGAAAGTCAAGAAAGAAAGAAGACAGAAAAAAAGAGTTAATTAATCCTTCAAAAGTTTTTTGTTGATATGGACCAAGAGTGATATTCAACATGAGGCAAATAACATGGTTAAAACTATAAATAAGGAAAATTGCTTTGACAACCAAAGTTTTTATGGAAATGTGGGAACTGGCATACCATATCTGAAAGGCAAGCATGTACTTGGGAAGAAACCAGGGACACCTAGAGGTGTTTCAATTGTAGAAATTTGATGGGTTTGTACATTATTTTCCTCTTAAAACAGTTAATAGGAATCATGTGGTATATTCACATACAAACATATTAATTTAATTAGTGACATGTTTATGTTACATTATCTTATAATCAAAATAGTTCACTTGAGTTTGAAAAGTCAGAAGAAATCCTCAAGATACATCTACAGATGAACTGAAGAATTTTGCCTTTGGTTTGTAATTAAGGGATAGAGCCAGTAAGCACTTTTGGAATTTGAAAGATTGGCACAAAAGATCCGAGTTATTTTAGGTTCCTGTGTTACAAAGTAGATTTGGGAACCTTGTTCGGGGCACACCTCCCTCCCTCCTTGAAGGATAACCTAAGCAGAGCCTACCTGGCATCCTAAATGACACCCAGTGGTACTTGTGCAAAAATTATTC